GGCGGGTGGGGGGCTGGATAGCGGGGGAGTGGGACTGGATGGGGCGCGGGGCCTGACTGTGCCCGGCGCCTCCCAGACTCTTCGCCGGAGCAGCTCCTTCTCCAAGCTCCGTGAGTCCATCCGGCGTGGAAGCGAGAAGCTGGTCTCCCGTCTCAGAGGCGAGGGGGCAGCGGGAGCAGCCGGGTGAGTGTTGGATCAGGTCAGTGAAGAGCCCCGATATCTGCAGCTCCCCCTGTCCTGCTCAAGAACCTTCCATGGCTCCCATCTCCCCTTGACGTACAGTCACACCCGGTGCTGGAGAGGTCTTCCCAGGGCGGGAGCCAGGCCCCCCCAGACTCACTCGCTCCCTCTGCAGGATGAAGAGAGCCGTGTCCCTCAGCACGCTGCACGTGGGTGGTGCCAGGGCAGCTGGGACCCAGGTGATGGGAGACAGGGGTACCTGGTCAAGGATGGAATGGGGGGCCATGCTGGCAGGCAAGGGGAGGGAGGGGACAGGCTGGTGTTGGGAGCCAGGGGTGGTAGGTGGGAATGGACCACAGGACAGAATGGATGGATGGGCTTTATTTGGGGGTCAGGTAGGGGATGGACATGAGGTACAGGAGAATGAGCAATACCGCCGCTGCAGTGGACAGGCTGGCAGTCAGGGTGGGTAGCACTAGTGCAGCTGGAGCAGGTGTGTCCTGCCCTCGCCTTCCCGTCAGCCACCCCTTGTGCCTGTCCCCAGTTACCCAACCAGCACCTGAGTGAGGCCTCTCGGACCCTCAGCGCCAGCACCCAGGACCTGGGCCCCCGCTAAAGTCCACAGGACCACGTGCCTGCAGCTTCCACCAGAGGGGAGTCCATTCATCTCCTTGCCTGGCACCCTGGGGACACCCCGTGTACTTGGCTGCCCTCTCCTCTGCTATTAAAGTTTGTCGATCTGGCCGCCAAGAATGTCTGCTTGAGGTCTCCTTCCTGCACAGGCCTCCCCACGCCTCCCGGAGGCCCCTCCAAGCCCCTGGGACCCAGGGCCAGGTAACAGCAGTCGCAGGAACTCCTTTTATGGCCCTGCCCCACCTCGCCTACAGCTGCTGTGCAATCTGCTCGATCCTCCGCAGCGTCTCCTCGGACTCCAGCTGCTCCAGGCTCAGCAGGGACAGGCCCAGCTGATCCTCCTGGCGGGCAAGGACGGGAGGGTGAGGCCAGGGGCTCACGCACCTGCCCGTCTACCGTGGACACACGCTGGCGTCTGAGCCCTCGACTCCCAGCAGTTCCCAGGCCGGGCGTGTGGGCGCGCACAGACCTCCCTTTGTCGCGGGCAGGCTGGGTGAGGGCGTGGGGAGGAAGCGAGACCTTCCCGAGGCAGCTTCGCGTGGGAGGCTAAAGGGAAGCAGGGCGGGCCCTCCAGCTCACCCTGTGGAACGGCTGTGCCATCTGCCTCAGGAAGTACTTGGCCACCTGGACCCCCTCGTCCACGGTCAGGTTGAGGTTGGCGTCCGTGAGGTGCTCCTGGATCCAGCGAGGCAGCTTCCCCCGCTTGTCCGCCCGGGCAAACCGCTTTGAGCAGGAGGCGGGAGAGAGGGAAGGTGTCAGGACCCTGGGGCGATGGTGAGGGGAACAGCCAGGCTGGGCGGGCCGACCCCCACCTTGTCAGCGAAGACCATGAGGCCGTAGTCGGTCTTGCCCCTGATGGCCCGGCCCACACACTGGGCCGCGTGGCGCATGGCGTCGAAGGTGAGGAAGTCGTTCTCTCGGATCTGGAACTGGTCCCGCAGGTATTCCAGCCGGGCCTGCGGCGAGATGGGGCCGGTCCCTAACGCCTGTCCCTCTGCAGCAGCCCCTTCCCCGTGCAAATCCTGGGGGAGCACCCAAAGGGGCCCTCGCATCCTGCGCCCCCAGGCGCTGCTCACCTTGAGGATGCGGCTCTGCGTGTAGACGTAGGGGACGCCAAACATGATGACGGCCCGCCCGAAGTGGTGCACTGTGTGGGGCGGCAGCGAGGGGTTACCCCGAGACCAGCTGGAGGGAGCCACCCTCAGGCAGCCCAGGAGTGGGAGGTGTGGGGGTGCTCCGAGGGCCCCATGGGCACCCAGGGACGAGGGAAGGGAGGCCCTGGGTGTGCCCAGGCTGTGGGCGTCCCCTGGGGCAGCAGAAATGGCCAGGGCTCCAGGAAGGCTGCGGGGGAGGGGAGAGCCTAGTTTGCTCACCAAAGTCGATTCCCTCAGACACTTTGCCACGAGCCACTGAGAGCAGGATGGCCCCACGGCCGTTCTCGCAGGCCTACGGAGGGGAGGCCAAGACAGAAGCATGGCCCCTCAAAGCTGTCCTTCCCCCTTACCCCCTCCTTTCAGTTCCCCCTCCCCCGGCCCAGCCTCACCTCCTGGTACTTCTCCAGGGCCACGCTGGTCTCAGCCCCGTCTTGGGTCTCAATGAAGAGCAGCTTGTTCCTCTGGATGTTCTCGAGGATGCCCTGAAGGACACGCGGTCAGTGTGGCCGGCAGGAGGGTCCCGCTCTCGGGTGTCCCTGCTAAGCTCGGCTCTGCCCGGGCTTCCTGGCTACAGGCCACTTCTCTCCCCCGTGGAGACCTAGCAGGGAGGGCGGTGGCACCGTAGCCTCCTTTCAGGAAACCTGTGATCCTGGCAGGGAACTGTCCCCACACCCAACTTTTGGACAAGTGGGGCAGGCATGTGGCCCAAGACAGCCAGTCGGGACCCTCCCTGCCCAGCCACCGACTGTGGAGACAAGATTTCACATGTGACAGACATTGTAATAGAGACCCGTGGCCAGGACAGACATAGAGACAACGGGACAGGACAGAGGGCTGAGAAACATCCCCCCACAGGAACCCTCAGTGGGGAGGAGCTGGGGCAGCCGGATTTCCATGTGGGAAAAACGGAACCTTGACCCCGGCCTCACACCATACACCCAGAGGAACCTAGGTGCTCACAGACTAGGTGTGAAAGCTAAAGCTACAGGGCTTTCTTAGGAAACACAGGAGACGACCATCTCCTGGGCAGGCAGAGGTTTCTTAAATAGGACACAGCCGGCACTCAGGGCGTGGGGCTCGGGGGCCAGCAGCCCCTCCCCTGTGTGGAAAGAGCCAGAGGACAGAACCGAGGTCTTGGCCATGAGTGGGTGAGCTCCCCACCCACCCCTCTCTGGTGTTCGGATTCGCCAAGTCCATTATCTCACCTCCGCCAAGATCTGGGCCATGGGCGCTCAGAGGCAGAGCGGGCAGAGCAGCCCCTGCCGTCCCTGCATCCTGCCTCCCCCAGTCCCGGCTCCGTGTCCAGAAAGCCCACGACCTCACCTACATCCCCCCAGTGCACTCTCTGCCCGAGTTTCTGTCCAGTCTAGTTCTCCAGAACCTTCCTCTTACAGCACAGCACCCAGCGAGAGTCTTGCCTGCTACCCAGGTCAAGCCACATGCGCTGAGGGGCACAGGCATGGTGGTCACCCCAAAAGACCAGCAAGGGAACCAGGACCGGGGAGGCAGGGTGTGGTTCCGTCTCCTGAGGGGTAGGCCTTAGAGGGCCCAGAGGCTGTAATGCTAGTTCTTAGCCCGGAGTGGGGGAAGGGCCCTGGGTGTACACTATTCTTTAAACTGCTCATACGTGTCCTATACACTCTCCTGCCCCCTATGACACAGACGGGCAGAGCCAAGATCTGAGAAGCCAGGGCCTTCCTGGGTGCGGCGAGCAGGGGCGGCGGGCGTACCTGCTCGTACCAGGAGGCCACGGTGCTCTCCATGTACTGGTAGCTGGTGAAGAAGGCCACAATGCCATCGGGGACCACGGCAGACATCTCCAGCAGGAGGTTCCCGTAGTTCCGGATCACCGCTGGGGGGGGTCAGAGGCTGCACCTTCCGCTGGCCTGGGCCCTCTTCCCCACCCCGTCAGCATTCCTGTCTAATGCCTGGTCTTGAACGTGGGGCTCCTAGAGGCCCCAGTAAGCCACCTGGAGGGCTGTTCACACACACATTCCATTTCTCCTTGCAGGCCGGTGGGAGGCCTGGCCATGTGACTTGCCATGGCCAATGAAATGAGGGAAGTGGCTGCGTGCCACTCCCAGGTGGGCACCTCTGTAGACAGTGTGCCATTCACCACGATCCCTCCTGTCACGTCTCACCACAGCTGTGACGTGCCCAACGGTGGAGGTTCCCAGAGGTGACACTGGGCAGGCCCCCGCAATCCACAATGCACGGACCAGGGGCAAGAAGCAACCTCTATGGGAAGCCACTTCGACGTGGGAGTATTTGTTACCACAGCAAGACAGGCCATGCTGACTGCTGACCCTCCCCTCTCGGAACCCAAACCAGCCCCCGCCATGAGCTCCCACGGGCAGCATACCAATATCTTCCCGGGTCTCGAATTTGGAGCTGATGGCCACCTGATCGTTGCCACGGCCGATGATCTGAGGAGAGCAGGAGACATCACAATAAGCGAAGCAGCAGCGACCACCGTGATGTGCAGGTTGCCAGCTACGGCTGTTCTAAGCTTTTTATAGACATGGTGTCATGGAAGGAACGACCCTGTTATCAGTACTGCCCGGAAAAATCACCGAAGGCGCAGAAAAGGTGAGTCGCCTGCCCCAGGTCACATGGCAAATAAACAGCAGAGACGGAACTGAACCCAGTTCTGCCCATGTTCCCAACCAGCAAGCACGCTCCAGCTGCTCCAGCCGCCCCAGCCTCCAGCCAGGCGGTTCCAGGAGAATGCTTCTCACCGTGACCTTGACAGCCACTGGGGCACCCCCACCAGCCCCTCACAAAACCATGTGCAGTGCATGGTCAGCACAGTGCCGGCTGTGTCCTATTTAAGAAACCTCTGTTTCTTAAACAGTGCATGGTCAGCATTGGAAAAGCCATTCCCCAAGCCGCAGCACTCTGGGACGTCTGTCACAAACTAATGGGGGAGCGAAACCTGCCCAGCCCTGAGTCCAAAGTCCTGGCTGATCTCCCTTTTTGACTCTTTAAAATGTTCCACTGCTGCCCAGCCAGTAATGCTCAGTAGATTGAGCACGGTCCCATGCACCAAGAGGTCACCATTCAACTCCGGATCAGGGCACATGCACCGGTTGTGGGCTTTGTCCCCAGTAGGGGGCGTCTGGGACCCCCAAGCCGCAGCACTCTGGGACGTCTGTCACAAACTAATGGGGGAGCGAAACCTGCCCAGCCCTGAGTCCAAAGTCCTGGCTGATCTCCCTTTTTGACTCTTTAAAATGTTTCACTGCTGCCCGGCCGGTATTGCTCAGTAGATTGAGCACCGTCCCATGCACCAAGAGGTCACCATTCAACTCCCGATCAGGGCACATGCACCGGTTGTGGGCTTTGTCCCCAGTAGGGGGCGTCTGGGAGGCAGCCGATCGATGTTTCTCATCAATGTTTCTCTCTCTCTTCCTCTCCCTCTCTGAAAAAAACCAAAACGAAACAAAAACCTTAGCTCACTCTCCCCTCCGCCGCCTTGGAGATCACGGAGGAGGCATTCCCATTTGCAGATGAGAAGGCGGAGACTGGGAGAGCACGCCCACAGGGAGTGCCCAGGTCTGTCTGAAGCCAGGATCTGTGCCCTGAGCTGTACAGCTCTCCTGCCTGATCAGCGGAGGGAGCAGAGGGAGGACAGTCAGCCACTCGCTTCCATCTTCCCACCCGTCACCCACCCCTCTCCCACGTACCATGGGGCACAGGCAGACGCGGGCCAGTGTCATGGTGAAGGTTGCCATGGTGACAGGGTGGAAGTCCAGGATCTTGGGGTAGATGTCCAGTGGGGACAGCGTCTGTGGTGGGGACGACAGGAGGGATCTTAGCAGGACTGGGCAGAACCAGGAGCCCCGAGGGGAGGGCGGGGACAGAGAAGGTCCTCACCCCGGATGTGATGATGACAGACTGGAAGCGCTCGAAGACGGGTTTGATGGCCAGCGAGGCGTCCATGCAGCTGTGGGAAGCAGACAAGGGTGGTGAAGGCCAGGCCAGGGGGCTGAGGCCCCACAGTCCATTCATACCCTGCTGGGCTTGGGGCTCACCTGAAGTGCAGGATGGGGTTGGTAATGGTTGGGGTCCTGTCGTCAAAGGGCTCGATGATGATGGTGAAACCTACCGGAGGCCGGTGAGAATGCTGGGTACCAGTGATGACCATGCCCCTCACCAGTCCCCACCCCCTTAGTGAACGGGACCAGCCACCTACAGCCCAAGCCTAAAACCCAGGCATCTGAGTCCAAAATACACCCAGCCTGCCCGCGTGCTCAGAACCAACACCTGCACAAGCGTTCAGGGAGGTCCTCCTCCTCGGGCTCCTCCAGGGCCACCAGAGCCCGCCCTGCCCCTCCTGCCTGCCCCTCGCCTCTCTGTCAGCGGTTCTCAACCTTGGCTGCACATTAGAATCACCTGGGAATCTTTTTAAAAGCCTGATTTCCGGGCCTCATCCTCCGGAAATTCTGTTTCTTTGTTATGGGGTGAGGCCACAACATTAGTAACAAAGAAACAGAATTTCCGGAGGATGAGGCCCAGAAATGAGGGTTTTAAAAAGATTCCCAGGTGATTCTAATGTGCAGCCAAAGTGAGAACCACTGGTCTAAGCCATCAGGGGGCTGTCGGCTCTGCTCTAAAGTCGATCTGCAATCTGACCCCCCCCCGCCCCAGTCATTGCCATGACCTCCTGCCTGAACCACGGTGGTCGCCTCCCTCACTGGGCTCACAGCTCCCATCCGCTGTGCTGGGGACACAGCAGAGACCAAGACAGCTCTGGCCCTGCCCTCTCAGGGCTCACAGTTCAGAGATGGGGACACAGACCTGAATAACCACCCGAGTGGCAGGGCTGGGACGGGAGAGCCCCGAAGAGGAGGCCAGCCCAGCCTGGAAGTCAGGGAGGATTCATGGAGAAAGGACCCAGGTAAAAGGAAGTGAGGTGGTGCCTGGCCGGTGTGGTTCGGTGGTTGAGCGTTGACCCGTGAACTAGCAGGTCAGGGTTCAATTCCCAGTCAGGGCATGTGCCCGGGTTTTGGGCTCGATCCCCAGTAGGGGGTGTGCAGAAGGCAGCTAATCAGTGATTCTCTCTCATCATTGATGTTTCCATCCCTTTCTCCCTCTTCCTTCCTCTCTCTGAAATCAATACAAAATAAACAAAAGTAGCACACATTAAGAAAGTGCGGTGTTGGCAGGTGGGGACGTGGGGAGGAGAGGAGGAAGCCAGCGGGAGGGAAGACAGCACGGGACAGAGGAATGCACGCAGGAGGAACCTTCCGGTGGGACTTGCTTCTGATGGGCCCTGGGGTGGGGGAACGGGCTTTTGTGCTCCCTGAGGCCGGGCCAGCCGGCCAGGCCTGACCTGGTTTCCTGGATAGAGGAGTAATCCCCGGGGATCAGACTGAGCTGCGGGCCAGTTTCACGCTGAGGAAGGGAAGGGATGCTGACCGATAAAGGCGAGCGCCTCCGGGGCACGTCCCCTCCTGGCAAGCTGGACACCTGAGCATCACCCTCAGCTCCTCCCCCCACGCTGCCCACGCCCAGGCCCAGGCACCAGGCAGCCCTGCCTCTACCTCCCACCTTCCCTCCCCTTCCCTCCCCTCCCGTCTCTCGTCCAGCCCTGGCCAGGCCCCATCTATCTGCCCCCAGTCCCTCGGGAAGAATGTTTCTAAAGTGCAAACCTGCCCCTGCCCCTCCCTTGCTCAGAACCTGCCATGGCCCTCCAGTGCCAACAGGAACAGAACAACCAGGTCCTGCCCTGGCCAGTCTGGCTCAGTGGATAGAGCATTGGCCTGCGTACTGAAGGGTCCTGGGTTCAAGTCCAGTCAGGGGCACATGCCCAGATTGTGGGCTCGATCCCCAGTAGGGGGCGTGCAGGCGGCAGCCAATCAATGATTTTCTCTCATCATTGATGTTTCTATCTCCTTCCCTCTCCCTTCCTCTCTTCCTCCCTCTAAAATATATATATATAAAAATTAAATGCTCACAAAAGGTAAGACCTTAAGTTTAATGGAGCCAATTAGATGCTACCCCATCCTTTCTCCATCTCCACTGGTGTAAAGGACAAATTTTCTTGAGACATGGACCAACCTGAAAAGTTTATTTCATTTGATCTATTTCAGTCAACCAAGTTCAAGGACATAATGACTCACTGGC